AGTCTCCTGCCTCCGCCTCCCAAGTAGCTGGGACCACAGGCGCCCGCCACAACGCCCGGCTATTTTTTGGTTGCAGCCGTCATTGTTGTTTTGGCGGGTCTGGGCTGGGGATTCAAACCCACCACCTTAGGTGTACGTGGCTGGCGCCTTAGCCGGTTGAGCTATAGGTGCCGAGCCCTGAACTTTATTTTTGATGGATACCAAATTCATCTGTTTTTCTTTTACTTCTTTTTTTTTTTTTTTGAGACAGAGCCTCAAGCTGTCATCCTGGGTAGAGTGCTGTGGCGTCACAGATCACAGCAACCTCCAACTCCTGGGCTCAAGTGAGTCTCCTGCCTCAGCCTCCCAAGTAGCTGGGACCACAGGTGCCCGCTGCAATGCCTGGCTTTTTTTTTTTGGTTGCAGCTGTCATTGTTGTTTGGTGGGCCCTGGCCACCCGCCACCTTAGGTGTATGTGGCTGGCACCTTAGCCACTTGCTGGCACCTTAGCCACTTGAGCCACAGGCGCCGAGCCTGTGTTCTTTTACTTCTATGTGAAATTATTTAATGTATGTTTTATTAAGTACTGGAGGTTGGTGCTCTACCCAGAGCCCTTTGGATCCTTTTACGCTTTTGGGGAGGCTATTTTCCCTACAGCTTGCTTTGCTAACACACAGAAAGCCTTAGAAATCCCTGAGGATTTATGGTGCCCAGGATGGCCCTTATCTTAATGATATTACAAGAATATGAAGATCCCCTTCCCTGAGGTAGAGATTATCCTAAGGCATAAATTTCTGTGATCAGGCTAAAGCCACCCTCTGTAGGATTCTGAGAACTCACCCTGAGTTTCTCACCTTCCCTGTCCCTCTCCTATTCCCTTGCTATCCTCTGGGAGCACTTCCTTAATAATCACTTGTGTACAAATCTTTGTCTCAGAATCTACAGCTGGGGAACCTCAACACCTAAGGAGAAGTAGAGGACGACGATGAATTTACCTTTTAAAATTGATGTTGAGATTGGCAGTCATGACAATCCCTCCAGCCATAATAGCAGTCATACCAAGAGTAGCATCAATCATGGTTGCAATGGCACCTCCGTGGAGGAATCTAGTCACAGCAGGAGCAGAAGAGAAATGTTTACTAAGTTCTGAAACAGAGAGCCTCTCAAGATTCTTCAAGCATCTTCACACATTTTACTCATGAAAAGTCCACTCAGTCTCAGTGTATTCATGGACTTTTCATGAACATGAAAAGTGTATTGTGTATTCAATGTCAGACAATGCCCATTGTCTCTAAGTTTATTTTGTTCATAGTATATTTTAATTTATTTTACCTTTTTAGTGACAGGGTCTTGCTCTGTCACCCAGGCTGGAGTGCAGTGGTATGATCACAGTTTATCAGCCTTAAACTCCTGAGCTCAAATGATCCTCTTGCCTTAGCCTCCTAAGTAGCTGAAACTACAGCTGTGTGCCACAACACCTGGCTAATTTTTCCATTTTTTTTTTTTTTTTTTTTTTTTTTTAAGAGATAGGGTCTCACTGGGTTACCCTGGCTGGTTTTATACTGCTGGGCTCAAGTGATCCTCCTGCTTTGGCTTCCCAAAGTGCTGAGATCACAAGTGTGAGACATCGGGCCCAGCCTGTTCACAGTATAACAGTGTATTCTTAAGCATTTGCAATGGAACCAGAACTCAATAGTAAGCAGATTACAAACAAGAAAAAAGTAAAAACTTATATTATTTTTTTATTAAACAAACTGCAAACATTTGTTGTTTAAAAATTTGGGAAATGCAGATAAGGAGAAGAAAAAAGAAAAACAATGTAAGGCCCATAAAAGCTACTATCTATCTTGCCAGTGATAAGCCACTGTTAACATGTTAGTGGCACTGCTTCTAATTATACTTTATTGCTATGTCCTAATAAACATATATCATATATGCTCATTAATATGTTATATATATATATATATTTTGAGACAGAGTCTTACTTTATTGACTTTGGTAGAGTGTCATGGCATCACAGCTCACAGCAACCTCCAGCTCCTGGGTTTAGGCGATTCTCCTGCCTTACCTCCCACTACAGGCGCCTGCCACAACACCCGGCTATTTTTTGTTGCAGTTTGGCCAGGGTCGGGTACCAACCCACCACCCTCAGTATATGGGCCTGGTGCCCTACTTACTGAGCCACAGGTGCCGCCAAATATATTAAATATTTAATAGACATTAACAACATAGATAAGATGTCCTTTAATAAGGCATTATAAATATCCCTCTGTGACAATAAGCAAACATCTACATCACCATCCGAACACCTTCATTGCAGTCTGCGCATACGCGAAGGCACTGTAAGGTAAAAATCTTTTAGCTCCACACTTCTAGGTTACCATTCTTACCCAGGTGCTCCTTCCAGGTAAGGGCCTCCTTGAAACAAGCAAACCATTCTTTTCTCCACATCATTATAAAACATCACGTATTCAAAGCCCAGGCCATCCTCAAAGCTTCTGGTGAAGAGATTGGTCTGTGTTATGTGACCTTCTTTTGTGATCTGTCCATCTATAAGAAAGTGAGGGGAATGGACACATGAGGGACAAGTGTGAGAGCAGGGCTGGGACAGAGCCTTGCACCTGCACCTGCTGGACTCACACACATGAGGGACAAGTATGAGAGCTGAGGGACAAGTGTTGAGAGCAGGGCCGGGACAGAGCCTCACACTGCACCTGCTGGACTCACACACATGAGGGACAAGTATGAGAGCTGAGGGACAAGTGTTGAGAGCAGGGCCGGGACAGAGCCTCACACTGCACCTGCTGGACTCACAGGTCAGTGGACGACTGCATTAATATGTCAGCTGGGTGCAAAACTAAAAGGAATGGACAGATCCCAAAGAAAAAGAATTATGGGATTTTTGCCTTTGTGGAATTAGCAGTCTCAATGGGGACAGGGTCAGGCATGGTGGCTCATGCCTGTAATCCTAGAATTCTGGGAAGCTGAGGTGGGAAGATCACTTCAGCTCAAGAGTTTGAGACCAGACTGAGCAAACCTCATCTCTTCTAAAAAATAGAAAAATTGCCAGGCATCATGGCAGGTGCCTGTAGTCTCAGCTACTCAAGTGGCTGAGACAAGAGGTTGGTTAAGGCCAGGAGTTTGAGGTTGCTGTGAGCTATGATGTCACAGCACTCTAGCCTGGGCAACACAGTGAGACTGTGTCTCAAAAATAAGTAAATAAATGGGTACAGAGTAAATATACATGAAATCAAAACAGTTCTTACCTACACATGGCAATTAGAAAATACAGTATGCAAATGTAAACAGCATACTGGATAAAACAGTAAGATATAGACAGAAATCCTTCTTGGAGTAAGTGTGGTTTAAATGGGATTTAAAGAAAATGAAAGCTCAGCGCCTGTGGCTCAAATGGCTAAGGCACCAGCCACATACACCTAAGGTGGCAGGTTCGAATCCAGCCCGGGCCTGCCAAACAACAACGACGGCTGCAACCAAAAAATAACTGGGCCTTGTGGTGGGTGTCTGTGGTCCCAGCTACTTGGGAGGCTGAGGCAGGAGACTCACTTGAGCCCAGGAGTTGGAGGTTGCTGTGATCTGTGATGCCACGGCACTCTACCCAGGGGGACAGCTTGAAGTTCTGTCTCAAAAAAAAAAAAAATAAAATGAATAATGTAACATAAAGGAGAAGGTTTTCCTGGAAATCATGAGTTCAGCTTGTTAATTATACTGAATCAGAAACAGGGCCAGTTCAACTTAATATTCAGTGTGATTGTGAGTCTAAGCTCCCCAATTTGGGGTTAGAACCATTAGGGGTCATGAAATCCAATTAATAGGTTGTAACTAGACTTTAAAAAGAAACAGAATACTTTACATCCATCCTGGGTGAAACTGTGTTTGTTTAGATACAGGTTTTTCAACTGTGAATAAGGTAGGGGAACTAGGGTGGGTCAAAATGTAGGTAATTTCAAAATAAAGACTGAACACTAAGACGCCAGCCACATACACCTAAGGTGGCAGGTTCAAATCCCCAGCCCGGGCCCGCCAAGCAACAATGATGGCTGCAACCAAAAAATGGCCGGGCGTTGTGGCGGGCGCCTGTGGTCCCAGTTACTTGGGAGGTGGAGGCAGGAGACTCGCTTGAG